CATAGACCGTGCGAGTTTACAATGATTGTCTACTTTAAATCCGAATAAAATAGCCTAATTTATATTAAATATGAAAGATCGCCTGAAATATTCAACTATTAATGAGTTATCATTATTGATACGAAAATGCTCCATGAATATCAAAAATATATATATATATTTTTTTGATTTTGGTTTTAGGCCAAATACTTCGATTTTTTTCTACATTTGAACCTACCGATTCCTTCGGCTGCTTAATTATATAGAGAGATATGACATTACATCAGCTATTATATACCCAGTTGCATTCCTTCAGAAAGAAATTAAAAAAAACGTATGTGTAACTTGGATTATAAATACAGAAATACATAAATACATAAATAAAGAAAATACAGCCGTAATTAAAAGCACAAATGTTCACAAATATAATTGCGTATATTTTTTAACTGTGCTTAAATGCGCGTCATTATTAAAAAACATCATCTTGTATCATTATTTAAATCATTATATAAAAGCACACTTGTATTGATCAAACCATATGCTTAGCCAATCCCTATGAATATATGTGAAAGTATAGTTATTCAGTAATCATTTTGTCAACATATAATTGATTGTCTTTGATAAAAACATGGAGACAACCACAAGTCTCAAACAGCCCCTTGGAAGTATTGACACATTTGTAAGGTACCTTTTTTGTTTAAAAAGAGACCTTATTAGGTTTCTAGCTGTATTTTTCTCCTTCTTGGAATGTTTGGTTGTATTTTCATAATAAATTTCTTCACACGCGACGTTTAAAATTTTGTCTCACTATTTTTTTTTTCTCTATGGACCTGTAGTATTTTTGGGAGAAAGAAGTACTGTATATCTATATAACAAAAAACAATAATTTGTATTGCAAAACATCAACCTAACACTTTTATTTTATCATGGTCTTCAAAATAAAAAATTTAATTTTAAAGATCTCCGAAATAGAATTTATCATACACTGAAAAAGATTTACCATAAACTAAGACTATGCAAAACACCTAGCTTTTTGTTAAACCCGATACTTTTATTATATATGGAAAAATCTCAGTGGCTAATTGTAATGCATTTGATTAAAAAAGTCAATACCAGACATCAAATTTTCAACACAGTGGATCGATACAAAAAATGAAATGTTCTCTGAAAAGAGCACTAAATGCATATTTTATGCAACATATCTTACTTGAGTATCTTACTTGAACTTCTTATTCTTTCTTACTTGAAATTGCATGGTTCACTTTTAGATGCACAATTATTTCAATCAGAAAAGTTATTGGTAGTTAGTCAATCATGAATATATAAAGTCTGTTTAATCATTTATTAACATGTTATTTCATTTATCGTAATAAAAAATGAATTCTTTAACTATTTACATCTGAGAAATTGGAAAACTGTAAATAGCGAAACGAAATAAAAGCGAAACAAAACGAACTGAAACGAAACGGAATTTACCGAAACGAAACTTACTGAAACAAAACGAAATCTAAACAAAACCTACCGAAAAGAAGTAAAAAAAAATATCATTTTTTTTTCAAATCAAGGTACATTTAATTACATATGTGTAACTGCATGTTGAGTTTTTCTATTTCATATAAAATCTATATAGTTCAAGCACTTGTTTATATGAAATTAAAACCGATAAATTATACTCAGTTTTCTTGTGATGTATTTACTTTTATCCCGCTTCAGACAAATTTGTCGATTACTGGTTGGATGAAAGCTAATCACTTGATGCCCTGAAATTTTCCGTATTAGGTCTCCTTTTCCGTATTACGTCTCCATTGAGGCGTAATATGAAAATCGGGCACGCGATTCCGTTGGAAGCGTTGTTATTGTAAATAAAAATGGCAGCTAAGAAATGGTTTACGTAGGTAGTTTAGTTAAATTTCTTGTTACCAGAACGATATTTTATGTTGATTGTTATTGGATTAAAACTTAATATTTTCATAATATGCACAAATATTTTTTTTTATTGAAAAAGGTCTTCAGCGGGAAAAATTTGTAACACAGTCAGTTTGTGACCTAATACGGATTCATACAGGGTGTGAAATGGAAATCCGTACTTCGCCTCGCCCAATACGGATTTCCATTTCAGACCCTGTATGAATCCGTATTAGGTCACTAACTGACTGTGTAACTAATAGTATGAACTGCTGTCAACCGAAAACATGCACGAGCATACTATGCATGCAAAATTTTGGTATGTGTACATGTATTCTAATTTTTATGCCTTGATAGCTCTTAATTTCAGCCCTTATTCATCTAGATACAACATTTCTATAAAAAATGATGACATTGTGTGACATGTAAAGGTACTGTATTGTTGTATTGCGAATGTCTTAAAACCAGAAATTTTTGAGTAATTCAAACCGTAATTCCTAGTTTTATCGTTCACTTAAAACCCAAACCGGAGGCCTGTGTATCCCGTCTACATGTACACATACAGTGTTATTTTGCATTGAGGTAACTTTAGAGGAATAAATAAGTGCTTTACTATAAAGAGGCCCGACCAAAGACATCTAAAACGATTTAATTTACACAAAAAAATATCTCAAAGCGAACGTTTTGGTTAGTTTCATTTCGTCTTAATAATAATAACAGTAATAACTAGATGCGATCTCGTTGCAAGCAACGAGAAGGTCTTCCGTCCGATATCTGATCGAATAAGACCTGTGTTGGGATAATTCCACTGATCGGATAAAAAATGTCAAAAAGGCACAAGAATTCTTCAAAATATGTTTAGAAACACAAATAAAATGTAGGATCTTTCAATTCCAATCAACTTCCGGTGCGATCGTATGTGCTCAAAACTACTTTCAACTCTACATCAACCAAGCGGTTATCATCCCTGAAAGTTAAGATGGAAAATACTCATTTTTAGACAACTTCCGGTTTGAACGAACCGTTCTTCCGGTGGAAATATTAAGATGCTACGCATTCTTTAAATTTCTATAATGACCAATTACATTCATTAGAAAATGAAAAAAAAATCGCTACAAATGTACATGTATTTAAATTACATGTACTTCCGGTTTACAACGGAAGTGTCGACGAAAAAATGAAATTAAAAGTATGCATATTGTTGGGAACATTATGTTGACCATCTTTTGTTCAATATTGCTTATCAAAAAATTCACGCTTTTCGAGATATAAAGCGTCAAAGATTTAGTATTCTAGTCCCCTGTGTCCCTTTATTACGAAACATATGATCAAAGTTTTAGTATATATTGTTTCAAATCGTTAAGTTGAATATCTTTGCTTTAGTAATGTATCACAAAATAATAATAATAGGGAAAAAGAAACCGAACGAAAACGATAAGGTCTTCCGTTGGAGACAGAAGACCTTAATTGATTACAAGGGTTCACGGCAAAATATGGCTACTTCAAAATAATTCCTGAAATTTCCCCTTCAATTCGAGCATTTCTGCATTGGACAGGTCTGATATTTGTTATGAGATGATTAACCATGTGTAAACGTTCTTAGTTTGGCGGAACAATTGAACATTTTTCGGCGTGATGACTGTTTTGCTTATGGTAACGATGAGGCCATGCACAGCTGCTGGAGCGGATCCAAGGATTTATGAATGAAATAAAAAAGATGGAAATGAAGTTCGATTTCTTCTACATTATTTAATGGCATTATGCATATGCAAGTAATAGATATACAGGAAAACGCGAAATGCTAATAAATGCAGATGACAATCTTTATTTTCTCAAGATATTTTTTTTTTAATGAACTAATTATAAATTCTACAGACAAAACATAGGAAGAATGAATGATAGCAAATTAACAGATGATATTAGGGGAACTGATTTTTTATGAATGAAACTTTTAAAACGTTACTTGTAAGTTGTAAATGTTATATCTGCGAAGGCTACTTGTCTGCGCGCTTCCGGGGGGGGGGGGGCTCTCTTGAATGTCTATTTATGAGAAAATGAAATGAATATTTTTTAGTGTTTAAGGAAACGTTGAACCTACGTTTGCGAAAATTTTAAGATATTTAAATCGTTCTTAATCAAATCAAGAAACTGGTTATACGTAAAATCAGCAAATAGGGGCCTTTACTTTTGCCATGAATATCACAGAAAAAGAAAGAAAGAAAGACAAAGAAATTTTAAAAATCGACTATATTCAAAGTACTTCTGGTTTACAACGGTAGTGTCGACGGAAAAAATGAAAAAATGAAAAAAAATTAAAGTATGCATATTGTTGAGAACATTATTTTGACCATCTTTTATTTAATATTGCTTATCAAAATATTCACGCTTTCTGAGATATAAAGTGTCAAAGATTTAGCATTCTGACCCCGTTTGACCCCTTATTACGTAACATATGATCAAAATTTTATTATGTATTGTTGCAAATCTTTAAGATTAAAGAGTTAAAGATGAGAGACTTTTGGCCCCTCTTAGCCCCTAAATTGAAGGGCTAACCCCATTTTCTTGATATCAATTGAAAGGTCTCACTATATTGCACATCTTTTGTTATATATGTTATGACAAATTATTTACAAGTAAAAAGATATAAAAGAAAGCGTGTCAAATTTTGCGAGATGCTTGTTAGCCTATTTTTTGAGCCCAGGCGAGCGTCGATGCCTTTTCCCCTGGAAAGGTCTATATGCAAAATGTCACATCTACTATCCTATCTCTACCTTCACTGAAAATCTCAACTCAATATCTTAAGTCGTTTAGGAGATCTCAGGACAACCCGAACCTCTAAAAATCAGAAAATCCTCCATATCTCACGACCGGAAGTGACGTCATCGACGACGAAAATTTCCGACAAGGTTCACATAAATATCTATTTGATCTGAAAGTTTGGTGAAAATCGGGCGAGCCGTTTCCGAGAAATCGCGTGCACAAAATCGGTAAGAAAAAAAATAATAATAGGGAAAAAGAAACCGAACGAAAACAATAAGCTCTTCCTTTGGAGACGGAAGACCTTAATAATAGCAGAAATAATAATAATGATTATAATAATACTTCATTTAAAGAAGGTAACCTGATTAGTCCAAGCACTATTCTTCCCCAGGGCCTTCTGACAATCAACAATATAAAGATACATGGTTATACATATACAGACATTTTATAAATATATACATAAATATACAAATACAAATAAACATGAATCACAAATTATTCTGGCGTTGTTTTACATAAAGTTTTACTTGTCTCTTGAAAGCATTAAGTGTTGGTGACATTTCTATGTGCACCGGTAAAGTATTCCATAAAATTGCACCAGAGTACTGGAAAGAATTTTAAAAAAGTTTACATTTATGAATTGATTTCGTTTCGATTCAGTTTGCTTCGTTTCTTTTAGGTAGAGTTCGTTTCATTTCGTTTTGTTTTTACTCGTTTCCTTTTCGTATTGCATTTACAGGTACCGAAAAAAATGTTTTACACACATTATGAACTGTTATTAGGTCGACATCCTAAAGATCATTTACTAAACCACGCCGGTTTGCAGTGAAAAACTTGTAAGCAGGAGCTGTAGGAATATGTTTCCAGATATCCTCTTTCAGAAAACCCATCATCTGATCAATTTGGTCTTGTTTAAGCGTACCAGGGAGTAATTGTGGGCAAGAAACTCTAGGTAATTTTGGGCCTTGTTGAAACTTCTCATTTTTTGATTGATAATTTATTATCGCCGTTGGGTCATTACCACTAATAATATCTTTGTTATTTTTAATGATTTGCATTATTTCCTTTTTATCTCTATCTGCTAAAGAAAGACTTTCTCTGCTCATCTTTTCAGCTTCATCTTTCTCTTCAGAAATTTTGTCTTTTAGTTTAATGCTAGCTTCATATACAGCTTTGCAAATTTTGTCTTCTTGTTCTTCTATTGCAGACAAAACCTGATCAAACTTTAAAGTCGGGTTTATGTTTTGATATTTCGGAACAATGGTATTCTGTAGTTCATTAGTGTCCGAAATAATTTGCTTCCTCATTTTTTCAAGAGTATCAAGGATATCAGTAAATTCATGCTTTTTATGTGAACCCATCAGACACTGTATGCAAATTGGCAATTTACAGTCTTTGCAGTAAGTTTCACACCGGTTTTTCTTGTGTGTTAGACATGTTGGAAGAACGACAGTTTCTTTTTTTCTCGAAGTGTATTCGACTATTTCATGTTTTTTTGATTTGTCCGTCATGTGCGTTGGTACGCATGAGAGGCAGAGGTCTATTCGACAAAGGTTGCAGTGGTGTTCCACAGGGTCTGAACATAATTGACAACGAATGACATTTTGTCCTTGAACAGTAGCCATATCTAAAGAGGAATAAGATTTCAATTACATGTATTTCTTTTATCAATTGAACACATTTACATTTAAAGTGATGCACGAAACTCAGCCAAAAGAACGAGAACAAGCTGCTTGTCTGTCAGCACCTGTTAATTGTCCAGTTGCGTTTAAATTTGTTGAAATTGCACTTTTTTTTCAGAAAACATTTGTTTTAAATGCTGACATTCACAAAAAGTGCTGAATGTCGAACAAATACTTGTAAAAAAAATGTTTATAAAGTGTTTATCTGACTTTGAGGGTAATCAAAAAGTTGGCGAACTATCTCTATAAAACATAATTCAGATTAGAATAAAATTTGGTACTCAAATCGCCATATAGCATAATATGCTGTATGAAGTATTGCTCCTTGATTTTATGTCATAATATGAAATTGACTTTATTATGTAGATCACTTGTGACAAGATATGGTTGTCTTACATGTAGTCTTATTCGTTCAACGAAAGAGTGTAAAATAACTAGGTTCAATTTATCATATTTATGCATAAAACGACCCTGTGTTTATATCAATTAATTCACTACCACCCTTGTTCCCATTTCATATATATCATAATAAATTAGATACTTTGTGCTTTAATCTCCTACGACAAACTTTTTTTTTTGAGAATCCAGATATTGTAAAAGAAAAAAGGCTTTTAGAAATTGTAATGATATAAAAATTTGCAGAAAATGTGTGTATTTGACTATGTGTACCTTCACAAGAATTAAGATAACGATCCAAAAAAAGATGATTCAAATCTTCAGAATCAGATCTTTCATAATATATTTGTATATTCTCGATCAGAGGTTGTGCTCTATAAGAGATATTGAAAAAAAAACTTAAAGGATATGGGGAAAATGACGCATTCTATGACTTCATAATACATTGATTAGATGAAAATTAACGTCATGATAAATTGATACGTGGTAAACAAAACTCCAGGTGATAAATACTTCATTTGCCACTTAAACTGAGCAGTTTTATATTTTTTTCCAGAAATCATTATGGCCAACAGTTGATCTTGCTTTTTATCATTATCTCCGAAATTCCTTTGCTGCAGCATATGGTAATTTGAACAAATTTACTTTAGACAAAAGACTTCCTAAAAATTCAATTGGTGATTGGGTTGATCGTTTTAGTAAGGAAAGGAGATGGTAAAACATGATTGTTCATTGAACAGAATGACTGTTCCGTTGCCCAGTGAAAGTAAGTTTGAAAAGGAATTTTTTTCTAACCTATTCTGTTGACGAAATTTGACCATTTTTGACAAAAGAACCGTTCTTAAAAAAAACTTCTATAAAAATCAGTTTGCCTGAAAAGTCATATTAAACTTAGAAAAATCGTAGTGCTTTTGTGACAGAACGCTCAGGTGCAGGTCACTTGAACGTCTATATCACGTGATTCGAGCAAGAGCAGAACAGCGAATATATGAATTAAAATAAGAAAGGATTTAAAATATAATCAATACTGAAAACAAATAGTGTTGTTTCTTTTTTGGAAGTTGTTCAGTTAGTTCGCAGACTTGTTTTGCTTGCCCCAGCTCATCTTTTATAACCTTAAGGTAAGTCCAAATTTATAGCTCGTTGGTCAGAGATCAAGTGAGGTATTCATGTTTTACAGAAGGGCTACGAATGCTGTTTAAATGAATTCAGTCCATTGATGTCTAGTAACATGCTGAAATTAAACGAGGAAAAAAATAGCCTTTTGTATTTCACTTAAACAGTCGTATCAAAATGATGACCAAATTCGGCTTATCCTTTGAAGAAAACATTCAGAGTGTTTTGAATATCAGAAATCTTGGAGCATTTTCCCATCGAATCATATGTTGTGAAAAGCAATGAAATGCTGTAACAAGGACATGCTACTCGCAAATTCTCAAAATAGGACGCATTTGATATGTCCTTACGAATAGGGCTGGAAGTGCACTTGTCCACTCTCTGGGGACATCACAATTGGAGTACACACTCTTATTCAAGATCGACAACGCATATCTCAGTAAATTGAAGAGGGTTCAGAACACATCTGCTAGACTCATTACTCGACAGACAAGCGTGAACATATTCAGCCCATACTTAAACTTCATGAATCAGCATCTACTTATCTTTCAGATCTAATTTGCAAATTCGGAACTGCCAATTGGTTGTGCTTTGCTAGTGAAAAATTTAAAGTGTAAAGATCAAATCTTCAGGGATTAATGGTTAGTTGGTAAAATGTTTATTCATTTATGTGAAATAAATCCAGATTTAATTCCAGGTATACATTCCAATATATCTGCTTTTCATAACAAACTGTAATTAATATATATTTTTTCTAAATAAAAAAAGATGAAGCGAAAACCTCGCGCTGTAGAATTATCCAACGTTGAGTGCAAACTTTGCAATATTCTATTTTTCATTATTACTATTTTCAAGAATGGTAATAAATTCAAAATGTGTGTCCTATTTGTACCCTTTGAGAAGCGCCTTATATTTTTTTTAGTAAGCACATCTCATACTTTTACTCAAAGAAAGAAAAAGATTTGAAATAACCTTCGGACTTTTGTTGTGTTTAAAAAGAGAAGCTTGAGCTCGAAACAGCCTTAAAAGAGCTAAAGTATTTACAAGCAGTACACTAAGGTTATGTGTTGAGTATTTATTTCTCTGTTTTAGTAACATTTTGAAATCAGGATTATCATGTATTTCCTAAAACTTTCTGTAAATACATATATTTACTGGCTGTTTTTTTTTAATATGTTTGCTTATTGAATTGAATATTAAATAGGATATCCATGTATTTACTAAAACATTTATCAAGTTTTACCCATGCTGACGGAACTACATGTAAGCAGGATTAACATAGATAAATAAACATTTTTAAATATTGTCATTTGAAAATAGTAGAGTGTAAAAAAATACTCACTTATTTTTTCTCTGTACTTCACAAAGTCTACATAAAGTACAATTTTATTGATGTTAAATCTTCTGGACTGGTATGCAGATGTTTGAAACAGTCAGGTGATGTATATTGTTTATCTAGCATTTAACTGTGTTGTCTATTCATAGTCCAGAATTCTTTATCAGTGTCCATGTCTACATAATATAAGGTACAATTTTATTGATGTTAAATCTTCTTGACTGGTATGCAGATTTTAGAAACAGTAAGGTGATGTATACTGTTTACCTAGCATACATGTATAACCCTGTTATATGTCCATAGTCCAGAATTCTTTATCAGTGTATATTTCTACATAAGGTGCAATTTAATTGATGTTAAATCTTCTGGACTGATATGCAGATTTTTGAAACAGTCAGGTGATGTTTATTGATTATCTAGCATAAACCTGTGTTATCTGTTCATAGTCCAAAATTCTTTATCAGTGTATATTTTGTCCTTACGTTTAAAAACCTACTGATTTGTCAAGTTTCAGTTTGTGTTTTTAAACGAAAAACTCCATCTTATTCTGATAAATATTCAAGGAACAATAAGATGTAAGTCTGCAAAATAGTAGAAAACAGATACTAAATCTGAATTAATAAATACCAGATAAAATGGAAATGACTTAATAAGAGAGAATTCATCAAATCAAACAGTAAAAAGTAAAAAAAAATGTGCATGCAGCAATATTTATACTGTCCACGGTTTTGCACCTGAATGCATAAAAAACACAAGATTTTATTTCGAGCAAAAATAATTTTTAAAAAGCTAACAGCGTAAATGTTTTACGATCTGCTTAAATGGAATCTTTTACAAACTGGCAAATGTCTGAAATCATACTTTTTAATGCTATTAATGTCTTTGTTTTCATCTGAGACGGAAAAAATTAATCATGACTCTTGCATTTCTCATCATATTTAAAGGAAAAATTGAAAGATGTTTGAGATTCAAAAAGGTCAAAGATCAGACCTAAAATCTCTTTCATTTTTATAATGCTATCCTTTATATGTCATTCTAAACTTGAATTAATTTCTTTCTGATTTGCAGTTTGCTTGTACTAGGTATAAATGAACATTTCGAACTTCATTTTTTAAAACCTTCATACTGTTTTCCATTATCAATGTTCTGTTTCTATCCTTTTTACCACTGACAGCTAAAGTTCGTAGAGAAAGCTTATATAGGCTATGCCTGCTGCCCAATCCATTTATGCATTTACATAATAAAATATGTTCAAATCAAATCAAGCTAAAGTGTGTGTCAATGAGGCCATGTTGCTTAAGAAGGATATGGAAATAACGAACAGTATTCAATCTCAACGCCCATTAAACAAATATACAAAATAAGAGCAGAGCAAACACGGACCTCCGAAACATCAGAGGTGGGATCAGGTGCCATGGAGGAGTGAGCATCCCCTGCCGACCAGTCATAACCACCATGTGCTCCAAGTCATCGGGAACTAACGGAAAATCAGTCTAAAATCATTGTATAAATAATGGACTAACAATTGGTATGAAACCACTTTCGAGCTTTTTTAGGTCTCTCTTTCTGAAGATCCCAGTTATCTGTCCGATGACACACGTCTTTTAGTGCAATAAATTTCTGTGATATTTCTGTAATTTATTGGTCAGTAGTTTAAAGTTTGTGATTTAATTCTTGATAATATTGTTCAGTGGATTCAATTCTGAACTTAAAGTTAGAAATTTAGAAATTTCTGTCTCAGCTTCTGACCGATTCCTTTTAGAACTTGAGACTTCATTTGTAAGGAGTTGTACGCTGTTTTCTAAATGTGACATTTGTTTGATAAAAAGTTGGTGAATAGCCGCTGCATCTTTGGAAACGGAATTATGATCAACTGGTGTGCTGTTTACATGGTCATGAAACAAGAGGCACCAATCGAGAAAGTTGTATAAGATGAATATTTTGCAATTTTTCTCAAAGTTTTAAACTCCATCTTTCTAAAAGCTCAAACAATCAAATGATAATGCTTTATCTTTTGTCCACGCTACTAGAATATAGAAAGGTTCAATTGGTTTTATCAATGCTTAAAACTGTGCATATATGGTGTAAATGAC